GTGGTGGTGGTTAATGGGGAAGGGTGGTGAGTGGTGGCAGTGGTTAATGTGGCACGGGGAGTGGGGAGCAGGCCTAGGCATCTTTGCATCTATGGTGAACACAAACTGTCAAGTCTCTGGATGGACCCAGCTGAGCTTTATGCCCTCCCAAGAACTGTTACTTCCTCACTGGGCTCTGAGCACCATCAAGATGCTTGGTCACAGGAAACAGAATGCATAACTCAAACCAACCCAAGACAGAAACATATTGGCTTATGGCATGGAAATTACAAGGCAGCTGACTTCAGGCATGGCTGGATCCAGGGGTCATATATTCGTTGGGTTTCTCACTTGCTCATGCTCTTTCTCTGTCCACCGTGGGGTCTTTCCCAGACAGGCTGTCCCTGCAGCTTCAGGCCTATTTTCTACATGCTTATTCGAGAGGAAGCACCATTCTCCCTGTAGTTGCCACAGAAGGCCCTAGATTGAGTCCACCGGACTTGCATGGGTTGCGTGCCTGCCCCATCATCCAGACTTAGGGGGCGGTATTTCAGGGTGCTGTTAACAGAAGAAGGGGAAACAAACTCTGAGCAGAAAGAACCCAGAGATGTCCACTGCTATTTGTCTACAGTTGTTTCCTTAGTAACTGGCAACTCTTACTCACCCCTGTAATTTGAAGGCATCAAATTCTTAGAAATGCCCGAAACAGCCTCAGTCTAAAAGACAGGTTCCCATCCTGCAGAGATTCCTTTTTAAATAGTACCTAGATAGAAAATTGAACAGGATATTTTCTGCTTCTAATCTCTAAGTTTTTCTGATGGCCAAAAATACACACTGGCTATAAAAAGTTCCGTCATTATAGAAATATGTGACAAAGAACATGAAATCCCCTGGAGATGACACCCCCTGGGAAAACTTGTGTGAACGAAAAGTTTGTGAATTTTTCTCCAGAGCCTTTTGACTTTTTGCCTCTTAGCAATAAAATTCTCCCACTTTGGCCCTATTTGCTTATCCTGGGAGAGGGGAGGGGTTTGAACTTTGACCAGAGGGCCCTCCTGTCCTCCCACCAATCTGGGTTTTTGTCCCTGCCCTCCATGTGCCTGTACCTCTGCTTAGCCTTCTGGAAGGTTTTATTTGGGGGCTTGGAGGCCCGATGGGGTCATTGATTGGCTCATTCATGCATTCAACAAATATGGATTGATCTGGGCGCCCACTCCAGGGCGAGTTGCTGGTGGTACTTTGGAGGACAGGATAGATAGAGCCGTGCCCCAGCAAGCACTCACGGTCTGGTGGGGGCCTTGCCTTTTCTTCTGATTTCCCAGGTACCTCTTGCTGCTCCTTAGTTCTCGTTGCCTCAGTTTACCCTACCTGCAAAGTGAGCATAATAGTATCTTCCCTGTCTGAAGGAAGGGGATGGCTCCTCCATGCCCGGAGGCCTCTTCCAGTTTCAGATCTGTCATATCCAAGGGTCTCCTCCTACAGGAAGTTCCCCTCAAATCCAGCCAGCTTCTTCCAGCTGTCTACCTGTGAGGGACTAGGCACGGGCAGGGCCCTTGCTTGGTAGCCTCACTGCCTGGGTTCACCTGTTGATAGAATAACTGACTGTCCCAGTTTGCCTGTGGCTGTCCTGGTTTTAGCACCAAAAGTCCAGCGTCCAGATAACCCTTTAGTTCCAGGTCACCCAGGACAATTCATTGCCTCTTGGTTCCACCTCTTAATGTGTGTGCTTGCGCAAATCCCTTAACCTCTCTGGGCTCTGGTCTCCTCATCTCTGGGGATAAGAGCTGTCCCTACCTCCTAGGGTCGTTGGGAGATTAAATGAGATAATACATGTTAAGTTCTTAGAACAGAGCCTGGCACGGAGTTCACGCTCTGATTGTTGACTGCTGTTATTCCCCTCTCCTGCCCAGGCTGGGGGCCTTAAGGAACATGCTCCCGTGGGTAACACGTGGTTGCAGCCCAGGAATGGGAGTCCTACAGCCCTGGGTCCTGCTGCTGAAACTGCCACTTTCTGTGTATGACCTTGAGCAAGTTCTCTCCCTGAGCCTCGGTGTTCCTCATCTGTAAAATAGGGATGATAACAGACCCACCTTCCCAGATGGCCCCGAGCCCTGTGTTTGGCTAAATATTCGATCAGCGTTATTACTGATCAGTAATCTGAGTCCAGCGTGATTCAGAACATAGAACTTCTGTCTGTGTGACCTCGATAACTCACGCAGAGAAACAGCGTTTGAATCTCTCAGTGCAGTTTGTTTTGTATAATTTTTACACCGTGTGGATGTAAGTGGCTGTCTTGAGGTCCCTGAGTATGCTAAGCACAGAGGCCTCGGACCCCCAGACTGGACAGGGCCTCAGTCTGCACCTGGGACCCCGCCCCAGCGATGCCGCCTTCATCTGGCCTCCTTTCCCCCAGCCTCAGCCATCTGCCGCTGGGCGGCTCCACCCTGGCCGTGCTCACTCAAGGACTAAGCCACATGACCCTCCTGCAGAGCCTCCGGTGAGTGACTGAGTGACCCGTGGGAATGAGTGGGCAGACACGCCTGGCTCTGTGGGAACCACCACCCAGGGAGCACCGGGGGGCACCTCCCTGGGACCTCCACGGCCCCCTCCCCCGCACATGCCCATGCCTTCCCAGGTCGATGCCCCCTGCTCTTGCCTTCCTTCTAATGCCACCAGCTTCCTCCTGGTTACAAAAGTGACCTGAAAGTCTTAGGCCCAAATCCTAGAACAACTCTCCATGTGTACACAACTCACCTTGGGCTCTTGTTAAAATGCTAATTCTGATCCCACAGGTCTGGAACTCTGCCTAGAGTTTGCTTTTTTTATTTTTATTTTTATTTTTATTTTGAGACGAGATCTCACTGTGTCGCCCAGGCTGGAGAGCAGTGGCTATTCACAGGCATGATCATAGCACACTGTAGCCTCAAACTCCTGGCCCCAAGCGATCCTCCGGCCTCAGCCTCCCAAGTAGCTGGGACTATAGGCATGCGCCACCACGCCCGGATTCTGCATTTCTAACAAGCTCCCACATGATACCAGTTCAGGGGGCCACAGACCACACTTTCAGTAGTGACGGTCTAGACTCAGATCTAGTGGCTTTCGTATAATCCCTCTGTGATTTCACTCTCTGCCCACTTGGATAAACAAATGTCACACTTGCTTTTAGTGTGATTCTCAAAATATGAAATATTGTGACTAAGCACAAACCCCAGCAGTGACACAAAGCGTGCTTTATTTTTATCCAAGTCCCCACCACCGCACACCCCTCCCCGCCTCTGGCAGGGTAGAGTGGGGAGGAAATGAGGTTAGAGAGTTTGGGAGGGCATATCATGTAGCACCATTGCACCCAAAATGAATTTACGGAAAGGCAGTTCACTAAAATTTAATTTTCAAAACAAAAGAAAGCAAAACAACCCTCAGATAAATTCTTAGCGAGGGGCTAAGACGGACCTGTTTGCCCCTGTAGTTTTGTTTTGTTTTGTTTTGTTTTCCCCACTTGCTGAGGCTGGGCAAGGTTAGGGCGCAGAAAAGACAACAGCCTGGGTTGAGGAGAAGCCCACCATTTGCACAAATGACAACACCATATGCCCGGAGAACTGATTTGCCCGAGGCGTGGAACCCGAGTGAACTTGGCATTCAGCAGCGCTGGCCTGCAGACCCCTGGTGCGGAGGCTGAGGCAAGACCTGGCAAAGCCAAAAACTGTAGCAACTGCTCCCAGGCCAGGGGCTCTGGGTGTCACCTCCGCCCAGCCTGCAAGTCACTGTCATGCACAGCTCACTCCTGAGCCTCAGTTTTCCCACCTGGACACTGGGGACAGTCTTCCCACCCTGCTCACCACTGCCCCAGCCCCAGAAGTTTTGTGACTGGCACAGGATGAGTTCCTGGGTGTGTAAAGGCTTTGCAAACTGTAGAGTTCTTAGCACAGCTCCTGCAAAGACCTTTGAGGTCCTAAGGCCTCTTGGTCTGTTCCCTGCTTTTCCAGACTGAGCAGGAACAGCATCAGTGATCTCGGTTGCTGCCACCTTTCTGAGGCTCTCAGAACTGCCACCAGCTTAGAGGAGCTGGGGTGAGTTGCCTGTCCTTCCCCCAGACCCAAGACAACTTTGGCAGGGAAGGATGGCCAACGCAAGAGGCCACTTGAGCACACTCTTGACTTCTTAGTCTCTTCCTCTTCATCCACTTCCCCCTTGTGTAACCAACCCCAGGCCTAGGACCTTGGGAGACCCGAAGATAGGATATAGGAGTGTCCACTGCAGCAAGGGGGATTTGGGTCAGACAACAGGGAGAACATCTAAACAAAAGCCAAGAGTTGGGAGCCCTCACCCAACATGGGGTGATGGGGCTCTTGCAGTGTGAGCTGAAGCCCTTTTGGGACTTCAGCCTCCTCTTCTGTTCTGGGCGGGGAGTGTGGACAAGAGGAGGTGGCGGAAGGCTGAGGAAGCTGTTCTCTCCCCAAGATTGAGCCACAACCAGATTGGAGACGCTGGTGCCCAGCACTTAGCCGCCATCCTGCCGGGGCTGCCCGAGCTCAGGAAGATAGAGTGAGTGGCCAGCCCTACTGAGAGGGGCCCGCAAGGGTCACACCGTGGTCCTGGGAGACACCGGCCCCTGGCTCAGGCCAGCATTGTAAAATGTCCCCTACCCCAACCTCAGGGTCCAGGCGGTGGGGCTGGGTGACCTCCTGGCTGTGACCGTGGGACCTAAAGCCACCCAGCCCCTGCTCTTCTCTGGGCCTTTCCGTCCCACCTAGCTGGGAAGGAACGTGGGGGGGGGTTGTCTCTGAAGCCCCCTGCAGCAGGCGTGGCAGTCCCCAAGGTGCACCGGGCTGGGGCAGAGGGGATCTGATGGCTGTCTCCGTCCTGCAGCCTCTCAGCGAATGACATCGGCCCCGCTGGGGGAGTGCAGTTGGCAGAGTCGCTCACTCTTTGCAGGCACCTGGAGGAGCTGATGTAAGTGTCTGCCCAGGTGCCTCTGCCCTCTGTGTCCCCGCAGGCCCACCTGGCCCCCTTCCTTCTCCAGTGGGCACAGGGCAGCGCGGGGTCCTGGCGGCCGGCCCGGTGCTCAGTGCTCATTCCTCTCCTCTTGCAGGCTGGGCCGCAATGCCCTGGGAGATCCCACGGCCCTGGGGCTGGCTCAGCAGCTGCCCCAGCACCTGCGGGTCCTGCAGTGAGTGGCCCCTACCCACAGTGCATGCAAGGCCGGTGGGCGGGGGCAGGGGGTCCCCTGGGAGCAGTGGGCTCAAGGCTGAGCTGCCCTGCCTGAGGGTAGCTGCGGCAGGTCCTGGGGCTGGCTGCCCCTCTCCCGCCTGCTCCCCCCAGCCTCTGACGTCCAGAGCAGGGAAAGCAGGGGGCCCAGGCTAGTCCTGGCCCTGCCACCACCCCGCTGCGTGCCCTTGGCTAAACTCCTGCCCCTTCGGAGCCTCAGTTTCCTCGTCTGCAAAAGAAATATGATGATCCCAGCTCGGCCTGCCCTGTGAGCCGGTCTCTGAGGGCGAATGAGAAATGTCAGCAAAGGGCTCCGTGGGAGAAAGCACGAAGCAGCACGGCCTCGGCACTTTACAGTTTAAGTCCGTGGCCTCATTTGACCCTTGTGGCAACCCCGTGGGGCCAGGAGTTTTATGTGCTCCCTTTTCTGGGCAAGGGAAGGTGGCCAGGGCAGGTGTGGAGGGCTCACCTTACCAACGCACGAAGGAGCCGGGCGCTGAATTTGGGGTCTCAGACCCCAAAGCTCGGCCTATGCTACCTGCGCAGGCGCCGTGTGCACGGGGAAGGGGCTCAGGGCGGCAGTCACACAGAGGCCATCCAAGATCTGGAGCTGCAGCCTGAGACAAGGCTGGGGGTGGCTCAGGAAAGGACCCCAGCGCCCCAGGCTGCCCTCACCCCTTCCCTGTTCCCCAGCCTGCCGTCCAGCCATCTGGGCCCGGAGGGGGCGCTGAGCCTGGGCCAGGCCCTGGATGGATGCCCACACGTGGAAGAGATCAGGTACGTAGGGGCTGCCCGGCCTGGGCAGGGGGACAGGCCAGGGAGGGTCCGAGGGTTCCTCTCACAGCTGTCTCCCCGTCCTGCAGCTTGGCAGAGAACAGCCTGGCCGAAGGGGTCCCACATTTCCGTAAGGGGCTCCCGCTGCTCAGACAGATGGAGTAAGTCACCTCCTCCGGCTGGGTGGGGACCGGCGGCGGCGAGAAGGGGAGCAGCCCTTCTCTGGCTGAGCCTGACACCCAGGGAGCCCCTGGAAGAAGCCTCAGGGCTGGTGTAGGGGCGGGGTCGAGAAAGGAGCGCTACTCCCAGCCTGCCCCGGGGCCTGGCGGCTCTGCTCCCTCCTGCTCTGACTGGGGGAGGACGGGACCTGCC